GCCACCGCCGAGGCCCGCGCGGTTGCCACTTCTGGCGCGGCGGCGGCGGCGGCGCCGCCCGTGCTCGCGCAGCCGGCGGCGCCGGCGCGCGCGGGCAGCCCGCATCTGCTTGACGCCTGGCAGCCGCTGGCCCACGCGCTGCTGCAGCTGGGCGGCCTAGCCGCGGCCGCGCCTGCTGGTGGCGACGGCGACGCGAGCGGGGCGGCGCCGCCGCCGGCCGAGGCCGTCGGGGCGGACGGCCGCCTGGCGCCGCCCGCGGCGCCGCTGCCCCTAGATCTGGAGGTTCTCAGGCCGCTGCTATTTGTGATGGACGCTCTGTCGACGCTGCTGCTGCCGCCGGGTGCAGAGGGGGCCCCCGAGCCGGCGTTCGCCGCGGAGCGGCGCCTGTGCGACGACCTGCGGCGCTCGCTGCTGGCCGCCCACCTGCCGCCCGTCGAGGCCGGGCTGCGGCGCGGCGCGGCGGCGGCGCGGCGGCTCGAGGCCGAAGCGGCGCACGTGCTGCAGCGCCGCGGCGTCGGCGGCCGCGCCGCCCGCGCGCCCCGCATCGAGCCCTTCACCCCGCAACCCACGACGAGCGCCGGCGAGGGCGGCGGCGGCAGGAACGTCAAAGGGGAGGCGTTGGATGAGCTCGTGCCGTTCACGGCGTTTGATCCAGATCTGGCCGGCGCGGATGAGATGCTGGAGGATGATCTGGGGGGGCTCGACGACGACGACGACGAGGATGGCGGCGGTGGCCAGGGCCTGGGTGCTTGTGGCAGCGACGCGGGGAGCGACTGGCTGCTCGGCACGAGCGGGGGCAGCGGAGGGGCCGGTGGGGGCGGCGGCGGCAGCGGGGCGCGCGCAGGCCTGCCTGATCTGGTGCCGTTTGACGGCTTTGACCCGGATCTGCCGGGGGCCGGCGTCGCATTGGACGATTCGCTGGGAGGCGGCAGCGGTGATGACGATGACGATGGGTCGGAGTCGGAGGGGCTTGGCGGGGATGACATCAGCATCGGTTCTGATGTCAGCGCCGACCTCTTGGAAGGCTCGGGCGACGGCGGCCTCACGGGCGCGGCCGAGGCCGACGCGCAGGCCGCGGGCGGCGAGCTGCGCCGCGCGGCCGGCGCGCTTGCCGACGCGTGCGGCGCCGCGCTGGAGCGCGCCGCGGCGGCGGCGGCGCTGCGCGCGCTGGCGGG